TCAGCAGACCACAGCTTCCTGTGCCCACCCCTTCACATGGGCCAAGCCCAAGGCGGGCAAGAGCAGCAGGCACTGAGAGAGTGCCAAGATGCAGCGGAGCAGGCAGGGTGCCACTCGGTGCTCTGCAGCCCAGGGTGGAAGGAGACATGGTCAGGTGGTGGAAACTCGCAGCTGTTTTAATCCTAACTTAACATGGAAGATCTGTAACTCATACAGATCAAAATTCTGATTAGCGGAGAGGAAGCTAAAAAGCCCATTTTAAAATCCGTAGTAAATATTTCCTTATTTTATTGAATGAACAATTTTAAGTTCTTAATTAGTACATATCTATAAATTTATAAATGGCAATGTCAACGGAAAAGAAATTTTATAAGTACCACAAACCAGACAACAGAAGTTCTCTTTAAAGAGTGAACGATTCAAGTGCACAAAGGGATTCTGACTCCTTCCTCTCGTCTCCAGGGGGAATGTGAAGGCTCGGGAGCCAGAGGAGGGGCCTGGGGGACCCTGCAGGGAGGGCGGGTGGCGTCTTCCATGCCCGCAGCACAGGCCAGTGCCACAGTGAGGGCATAGCAGAGGAGATTATGGCCCCAAAAGCAAAAGCCAGCTCCGAGCCCATGTCCTCAAGGACACTGGTGGTTCTGTGAAGTGACTGTCCTGTGGTGGGTCTCATTTCTAATGTCCCACGAGCGGGGCAGACACTGCATGTCAGCATCAAAGGCACATGGAGAGGCATTTGAGGGCCCTGTCCCCACATGGTTGGGACCACAGCACACAGGGGGCCTCAGGGCCGCCCTTGGGGCTGCAGAGCAGTGAGCAGCCACGTTGGACAGCAGAGTACAGGTACAGTGGCAGTGCAGGAGTGGCCCTGGCCCAGGAGGGAGTGGGGCCACAGCAGCAGGCTAGAGGCTCTGCACGGAGTTCCCCTGGGTGCCACCCCGTGTGAGCACTCTGGACAGCCCGGTGTTGGCTGGAGCAGGGGACCCTGGCCCTAACCCTAAGAGGGCACACACCAGTACCTGTGACGTGAGGCCACACAGCACATACCACGGCAGGTTTCCAGCGCAGCTGGTCGCGTCGACAGGTCACTGCTGTTGGACTGGAAAGTAAGTTGACTCACAGGGAGCATCTGGACTTCGGAGACGCAGATACGAAGACTCGGTGACTGACAACACGGACTTTCCACCGGAAGCAAAGTGTACCGTGGGGGGAGGACTCGCAGGCAGGGAGGCACTGCCTGCTGACGGGGACCCGAGGGTCATGCCTTTCTGCATAGATGCTCCGGCTGTGACAGTGCCTGCCCCGGGCCTCCTGGGAAATGCCAGAACAGCCCTTGGCAGGTGCCTCTGTGGCTGCAGGTGGGACCTGACAGCTATCCCACTTTGAGGCTCTGCATGTGCCCAGAGAAGCCCATGGCCGGGAACTGCCAAGAGGAAGGTACTTCCCCCTGTGCGCATCGAGCCGGCCCGGCGCGACTCCAGGCCACAGGCCCACCTGAGTGTTCAAGGGAGCACAGCCATGCTGCCAGAGCAGTGTGTGCCACGGGGGTTCTGTCCTGGGCTCTGTGGGAGGGCGTGGCGGGAGCTTGGAAGGCCACCCAGCAAGGCACACAGGGCTGCCCTCTGCAGGAAAAGGTGCAGTAGGCTCAGCGTCTCAGATACTGCCAAGGCACACTGTTCAGGACTCTTCTGAGAGCCACACCCACCAGTGCTGTGCACACAGGGCCCGGGCACTGGGGAACGGTCCTGGTCGGCACAGTGCCCTGTCCAGCCACCAGGGGGCTGGGCCAGGCTGCAGACCACAGAAGAACCACTGGCTTCTCCCACAAGGCACCGGGAACCTAACAGCCAGCTGCAGCGAGGAGATCCTGTTTGGATACTGATCAGAACCAGTTAACGGCTAACAGGCATTTTAGGTGTAGATGCTGTGTGTGGTCATGCAGGCAACTGTCCTCTTTCAGAGTCGCACGCAGGAATCCTAAGGAAGGTCCTCAGCACACCAGGGACTGTCTCCTCTTCCTACTACTTCTTCTTCTTCTTTTCCTGCCCTGGGGATGCAGACGGGTGCATGCCAGGCAGGCGCTCCACCACTGAGCTACACTCCCAGACAAGGGTCTTCTAAAGTGCGACAGGGACGACCCCGAGAAGGGAGGGAAGCGCGGCCGAGAGTCAGCAGTGCTACGAGCCACCTCCTGCTTTTTTGTGTATTTTGAAAACTTCCTAACTAAGACACTATCTCCAGAAAACCGGCTCCTGAACACAAGACAAACCCAACAGTGAGCCTACTTCCCAGGAGGCCTGCAGTGCAGCTGAGAGCTCCCTGGAGAGGGCTGGCCTTGCGGTGCCCCTGCTTCCCGCACAGGGCAGCCATGGGCCTGGTGGCAGGGCTGGCCCACACCCACCACATCTGACCTGCTGCAGCCACCAGGGCAGGCTCCACAGGGAGAAGGGAAAGACAACCTGTGTCCCGTCAGCACCAAGGGGCACATCTGTCAGGCAACTGACCAAGAGGAGAGGTGGCCAGCAGCCTCCTGTGAGCACTGAGGTTTAGGAGGAACTCTGAATGCCGTACGTGTGAATTCTTCCCTACTGCACACACTCAGGGTCCATTTTTGGAGCCACACACTGGGAAAAAAGCAGTTGTCCTCAACACTCTTGTTCTAAGTAGTGCCTGGCTGCAGACCTGTAGTCGTCCACATGGGAAGCCACACCCAGCCTCAGAGTGTCACCAAGACAGCTGACCCCAAGGGGGCAGAGTAAGCCAGAGCCCCTCACTGCAAGCTCCAGCCAAGTGGACGGGTAAAGCTTACGGCCAGGCCATGTCCGAGGAAGCTGCTCCTTGCTAGGGCCTGTCCAGCATGGCCTAGGACAGCAAGACCGACTCAGTCAAGACACCCGACAGCCTGCAGATGCCAGAAATGTGTCTCTGCAAAAACAGTCGACCACCTGGGCAGAGGACTAGGGGCTCCCACACGTGGAACATGATCGTCCCAAGTTTCCATGGAACATTTGCGGAAAAATCAGAAACTTAGGTAGGATCAGAAAGGATACCCACTGCTAACAAAACCCCAAGATGCAGCACCCCAGCGGTGGACTGGACCTCCTCAACGCTGCCCATGCAGGGCTGGCGATGGGGCGCACGGCAGTGGGTTCTCTGGTGCCCACTGAGGGATGCACCAGCCCTGGCCTTCACAGTGGTGTGCACTGGGGTGCCCTCCAGCAGCCCGCAGGGCCGCTGAGCCCATTGCCTGGGACACTGTGGCTGCTGTTGTGGGGACACTGCCCCTGAGAAGAGTGAGGCCAAGCCCCACATGTCGGGGGTGTCCCTGCATCTCTTCCTCTTATCTGAGTTTGGTGCTGGGGATGGAAGCCAGGGCCTCATGTGTGCTAGACAAGCGTCCCCCGAGCAGGCCCACCTGAGCCTGTCCCTCTGGTCCAGAGCGTGCCTCCCAGCACACCTGCACTATGACCCTCAGGTCTCACGGCTTCTGCTTGCTGCAGCCATGTCCTCTGTCCGCCCCCCCCCCCCCAAAGAAGACAAACACAAGAGGACATTCTAAACCAGTGTTCCTGCAGGCCTCTATCCAACCATAGCACTGTCTGGTCTCAAGTCTTGGCACTGGCACAGTCTCCAGGACACCCCTGGCATGTGGGAGGCTGTGGTCTCCACCCACCTTTTTCAAGGTCGGGGTCCGGCAGCATTAACAGGGGTACCACAGTCCACCAAGGGCCATCATGAATCAGAACTGCGTGACATTCAAGGGTGTAGCACCAGCTTTGACTTGAGCCAAGAGCACTCAAAACCCAAGACCCCAAAGCCACGGAGGCTGAACCACGCGCTTGTCTTTTTAAACTGGGTGCATAGCTTTCACCATCACTACTGGGGGGAGGGGGAAGCTGTGCGTCTCCGACATGTAAGAGTACAACAAATCAGGAATTAGGGGGAAAGCCCCAAACGGGACATCTAACGTCAGTCCACCACTCGGGTGTCTGAACCCAGGGATCCTGAGCCCCACCACATGGGGGGTGGGGGAGCGGGGCCTCCCTGTGCAGGGGTCTACAGAGGCCCAGGTGGGTTTCTATCTATCTGCTCTCCTGCAGTCAGGCTCTTCAAGTTGTCCTGCACCTCAAAAGGGACTCTCTCCCCACGGGTCTGTGCAAAAGGGTTGCTGAAAAAGAGGCTCATGTCCAGGGGGGCCTCTGCTTCAGAGTCCCACGAGCTCGAGTCTGTGCTGCTGGAGTCCTCGGCCGCTGTGGGCGGGTAGCTGAGCTGCTCTAACTGGTCGATGATGTCAGAGAACTGGAAGGCCGAGCTGGACTCGGAGCGGACTGAGCAGGCTGGGAAGTTAACCATGGAGCTGGCCTCGGACTGGCTGGCCGAGCTGGCCGTGTGCAAGGACAGCACACCATGGAGTGGCATGTCACTGAGGGAGCTGGTCTCCGCGGGGCGCCCCCGGCTCTGTGGGAGGCAGGCACGCACCTGCACTCCCAGCAGCTCTGCAGCATCGGAAGTGCCACTGAGATCACTCCCTTCTCCAAACTCCAAACTGTCTTCCACGCTCGCATCTACTGCCTCGGCAGAGAGGCTGTTTGGGCTGGACCCAGCAGACTGTAGGTGCTGGAAGGACACAGGTGCAGGGGGCTGGGCAGGGACCTGGGGCTCCTGAGGGACTACAGAGCTAGGCGGGAAAGAAAAGGCCTCAGAGCCTCCAGCAAAGAAAGAGATGTCTGCGGGGTCGTCGTCTATGAACTCCTCAGACACCTGCAGCTGCGCGTTTGTCAATGGGAACACAGGGCCTGCCCCACGGCACTGCTGGCCACACGGGTCCTCCCCCAAGGACAGGAGTGAGCCTGTGGGAAAGGCACCCCCAGCACTACCATCACCACCGGTGGCTCTGAGCCCGGCCCTGGCCCTCCCTGCACCTGGGTCCACGGCACTGAGACTCCACCCCACAGGGCAGACAGAGCCATGGCCGCCCACCACACGACAGAGCCCCACACCTGGAACCAGCTGGGGCTCGGGGGGCCCGGGCGGGGGGGCTGAGGGCAGGCCGGGGCTTCCAGCTGCTGCTCTGCGGCTCCGCTCGGAGGCTGCACGTTTGGCGTCGGGAGCTGGGGGGTCTACAAGGGGGCTGCTGCTGTCCTCGAAGCTGGGCAGGCCAGGAGGGGACCCCGGGGAGGAGGGGAATGGACCCAAGGAGACATTTGCTGGAGACAGGGAGGCAGAAGTCCTCAAGCCCTCGGCCAATGAGATGCTCTGCAGATCAAAATCGAGAAAACAAAAAGGAGCACATGAAATTACAAGTCACAATTAGAAGTGGCAAAGCCAACTGGGCCCTGCTTGGGATATCCATGCACTTCTCACGGTTCTATGGAAAGGGCGACCGGTCACACCTGCCGCTTAGCACAGAGCATTGGTGATGCAGACTCACGATCACCTGCTCATGATCCCTCATAATCCCCCTTTGTCTCTCGTGACATGTGACATCTATGTCACGCAGTGAGTACCCCTCTGTGGCGTGGGGACCCTCATCACCTGAGGCTGCCAGCACAAGGGTCTGGTGCTCACAGCTCATGGTGCCACTCGGCCAGCAGTGCCACTGGCACAGTGTGACACCAGGTGGCAAGTCCAAGTCCACAGTCCAGGAGGGGGACTGCCCCTCAGTCTACCCACACATCACAAGGCTGAGGGCCCCTGCCAGGAAGGCATCCTGCCCCCACCAGGGCAGAGGGACCTGGGCATCCCGAAGCCATGGCTCCCGCACAAGTGGGGAGTGGCCCATGAGCAGGGTGAGGATGGCCACAGGGGCAATGAAGGGATGGCCATGCTGTCCCTGGCACGCTGCTTCCTCTTCTCATGTCACTCAGCTCTCCACTCTGAGCTGCAACTGTGCTTGGAGAAAACCCTCACTCCAGTGCAGGCACACCCCAGCGTGGGAGGCTAGGAGAGAGGTCAGTCAGGAGGGGAACCATGCAGTGTGTGCCAGGCTGGGAGGGTGCAGCCACACCGGGGGCACTCGGGATGTGCAGCACAGGAGTGTCCCTGTGTCCAGGAGGGTGTTTCCCTGGAGGCCTTGCACCTCCCCTGAATGTGGGCAGCACTGTCCAACAGGCAGGAAGAGTGAGCCCAGGGGTTCGAGCCACTGCTGCTGCTCTGCCCTGGGTCCTGGGCTCCAGCTGCCCTCTCACTAGTCCTTTTCTAGGGAGCCTCTAGGCCTTCAGGCCTGGACTCCACATCCCTGGCCCCTGTGGCTCTCCAGCCTGCAGAGGCCAGCGTGAGCCTCTCCAGCTATGCTCCTGTGAGCTGCCCTGATCAATCTGCTTTTGTGACCATACACGCACATGTCCTCTAGAGGACATGAAGAGCACACAGTGTGCCTGTGCTGTGACACGGAGCACAAGTGACTCCATGGCAGAAGGCCCAGCATCTCACCTTCTAGACACGGAGCAGGGCATGTCCATGAGATCAGTCTGTCTCTCAGTGTCTATCATACCACCTTTTTTTTTTTTTTTAGTTTGGATTGAACTCAGGGGAGGACTAACCTGTTTTGGCAGGTCTGCAGTCAGAGCACGGAGGGATGCCTGGGTCTTGCTGTACCATCTGCAAACAGAATGGGCAGTGAGTAGCCTCTCCTCCCAGGCCTGCTCCCGCAGCAGGGCAGCTCCCACAGACCTGGTCCAATCCCCCGCACAGAGAGAAAGAAGGCAAGAACAGCTCAGTGGGGCATGAAGCTCAGACTGGCACTTAACAAGGAATGGGCAGGATTCAAGGAAGGAGAATCAAAGCAAAAACAGAATCCCCAGGAGGTGGGATCACGAGGCCTCTCCCACGGGTTTTCAGATCATGAGTCACTGCGCTGTGTAAACCACTCCACGTCGGCTCAGCTCTGCACACGAGGAACCACACGTAGCACCTCTCTATATACACACATGCACGTACACGGGTATGACAGCTGTAGGGACTACACAGCTGCCTTTTTACAGAAACTGAAACAGGAATCAAGCATCAAAAAACCTATTTGTAGCTGGTTGCAGTGCGCATGCCTGTCAACCCAGCATGTCATCCCAGCAGCTCAGGAGTCTGAGGCAGGAGGATCCCAAGTTCAAAGCCAGTCTCAGCAACTTAGTGAGGCCCTAAGGAACTCAGTGAGACCCTGTCTCTAAATAAAATATAAAAAAGGGCTGGGGATGTGGCTGAGTGCTTAAGCACCCCTGGGTTCAATCCCCAGTTGGGGAAAAAAAAAATTGGTAAATTTGAAATGACTTTTATTCAGATAAATATTAAAACTACTAATTTAAAAAATATTTTTTTTAGTTGCAGATGTACACAATACCTTTATTTATTTTTTTTGTGGTGCTGAGGACTGAGCCCAGTGCCCCACAGGTGCGAGGCAAGCGCTCTACCACTGAGCCCCAGCCTCAGCCCCTGACATGTTAACTTTAAAAGCACAGACTTTACCTTCTGGAGACCACAGGGCTCACCTTTCATATGGCGTTCTCCTCACCCCACCGTCTCGGACGTATTCTGCCAGCTGCTTCTGAGTTCTCCCACTGTGAACAAAGGCTCAGGTTCTCAAGAAAGAGCCAGCAGTGACGCACAGGCCTCTGTCCTTGCTCGAGGACAGGCGTGTGCACGTCTTGAAGTCATACTTTATAGTAAGCGTGCAGGTCTTCTAGGCAACGTTTCTGTCACGCCTGTTTTCTTCTCATCTGTGGTGCTGGGGATGCACCCAGGCCTTGCACACGCTAGGCAAGCGCTCTGCCCCCGAGCGGCGCCCCGTCCCACTATGCTGATAAGCTCCGTCCAGTTACCATCTCTCATGAGAACCTCCTGCGTGTGGCTACTCACTGCCCGATCTGTCTGCCCAGCCCACCTCCCTCTCTACCAGGGGCCGGCCAGCCCTGCAGCCCAGGGGCAGCCCTACCTGTATCGGAAGGAGGAGCCCCGGCTGAAGAAGACAGCTTTTGCCTTTGGCTTGGGCTGGTCAAGAAGTCTAAAAAAGGTGTGGTACTCCACACAGATCTTCCAGAAGTTCTTACACTCATCTCTGCTCCCCAACAAGAATTCTAATGTGTCCTGGTAGGGTCCCTGGGAACAAAACACAGCAGTTCAAGTAGCAAACCTGACGACAAGGTACTGGACAAGGGAAGGTAAATTCAGGAAGCAGATCACACATCAGGCAGTTTCAAAATTAAAAATTAGGAAGTTTTTTTTTTTCCCCTAAAAATTGAATATAAGGGCTTCTAGTTTCGTTGGCTTTGTCCAGTGGAGAAAGCCGTAGTGCGTATCTTCCCTGTGGACACTGTGGAAGAGAGCCCTGCACCTCACCTGCCCCCATCCTGAGGCACAACACACATCCAAACCCGAACCGCGGGGGCGCCCCACGCCAGGGTCTCATAGGGAAACCACTGCATTCTCCTTCACAACTGTTCTTTAGGATATATTCCCAGAAACCAAATTCCAGGCCTGAACACAATTACTGTCCATAAGCACCATAATAACTCCTCTATTTAGTCTTAAAAATCAAGGTGCTGAGGGATGTAGACGTAACTTTGCCAAGTACAGATACCAACACGGCTCTGGGCCTTGAAACATCAGGCTATTCCAATCACAGTTGTTTTGGTAACATGAGCAAGTACTTATCTTCTTTCTCTACCTTCTCAGAATAACTGCAAGAAACAGGTGTGTACTCACAAGAAAAAATAGCCTTTTATTTGCGTTCTGTTTTCCAGTGCTGGGGATGGAACCCAGGGCCTCACACATGCAGGGCAGTGCCCCACCCCGCACTGCACCCCCAGCCCTTCTCCCATTTACTTTGAGAGACAGGGCCTTGCTAAGTTGTGCAGGCTGGCCTTGACCTTGGGGTCCTCCTGCCTAGCTTCCTGAGTAGCTGGGATGACAGGCGTGCACCACCCAGCTAGAGAGCTACGCAAGCACCCGACAGTCCTCAGGCTCCGTCGCAGCGGATGTCCATTCAGCCCAAGGCCCTGCTGGCTGTGGCTCTCTTCTTCTGACTGGTCCAGAGTGTGCCTCAGCTGGCCTGGCGGGCAACCGGCTTCAGCCCAGAGGGTGCAGCTGGTCTGCTTCTGTCCCCAGTTTCCTCAGTACCACGGGTACGTGACAATCTGGACAACTCTGAGCAGTGCAGTTTTCTCACCTATCAGACTGCACAGATATTTGCTCTTTCCATTTTAAATTCAGATGGAATCGTTCCTTTATTGACTGAACTCTAAGGAAAGGAGTACTTATCTCCTGATAATCAAGGGTTCTTCAGTCAGAGCTAGTCAGAGGTCAGCTGCTGATTTAAAGGCATGTGACAAGACCAGGGCTGCCCTTTGATTCCTCTGGACAGAAGTTCTTACTCTGAAGCCAGGCACGGTGGCACATGCCTGTCATCCCAGTGATTCGGGAGGCTGAGGGAGGAGGACCGCAAGTCAAGGCCAGCCTTAGCAACTTAGTGAGACCCTAGGTTCTCTGCTTCCCTGGAGCCTTTGGCTCACTCTGGACAATGTGGACTTCGGCTTTGCCACCTGCAGAATGAGGCAGTGGTGCCCTGGACATGTGCATTCTCAGGCCTACTTGGGCGGTGAGTCTGAAGCCCCAGGTGGAACCGGGGGGGTGTGTGGCCTGTGGGACAGATGGCCTTGTGTCTCTAGGCCCCACCTGTCCTTCAATGCCGTGTGCAAGGCACTGCAAGGATCTACAAGATTTTTTTTTTAAAAATCTTTCAATATTCTAATAGGATAATGTTTTCATAATTTAAAAAGTGCTCAAAATACTTACATGGACCTCCGGGTGGAGTTTGATAAGAAACCGTTTCCTCTTAAAGCTCAGTTTACGGACCTTGGACCAGTTGAAGGTGTTGATTTTGGTGGTTCCCTGAAACAGACAGACAGGTGTAGTGGCTGTCACCCAGCAGACTCTCCTCCTCACGCAGCAGAGATGGCTCAGGACAACCCCTGCAGCACAGTGGCCGTCTGACACCCTCCATGGCCTCGGGAACAACTGCGCACACACACTGACTCTTCTGTGTCAGAAAGACAACCTGACTTCCTGGATGAGGCTTCATGACAATTTTACCAATCAGTGCTAACACGACAGGGGACAGGGTGCTCGGGCTTCTTGGCTGAGCTGAGGAAAGCCTGAAGGGCCAGGCCTGAAGTGGAACAGGAGCAAAGGGGACGCCTGGTGTCCTTATCCTCAGACATGTGAGCAGGTGTACACGTGTGCAGCTTCGAGACGGCTCCGGAGTGCGAGGCAGCAACAGCCAGAGAGCAGAGTGAGCCTGCAGGGTGGTGTGAGGACAGTGGCACATGTCCTCGTGACACCAGAGCCAGCCCAAGGCCACCAGGAGCATACGTGGGGTAGACATTTACTGAGTCTCAAAGAATCTGTCCAGAAAGTACTTATCTAGCCAGAGCTCTCTGTGCCACTGTCAAGCTTTTCAATGAACTTGAAAGGTCCCAAAGCAAGATCTAATAAAAGCCAACAAGGACACTTTGCCCACACTCCAGTTTCTACACTGACACCAGTTAGCCTTCCTGCACCTATGGGGGAAGGCGGCGGGATGAGAGGAGTGGACCCTTCAGAGACAGCAACACCTTCACCCTCAGCTGCAAAGAGGAACGGCACCCAGCACGACAGACAGCTGAAGGCCAGAGGACAGGGCGCGCTCTGCAAGACTGCACCATGCGGAGAGCCCAGGACAGGCCCAGAGGGCGCCCCGCAGGCCGGGGGCTGGGGGCTGGGGGCTGGGGGAGCACTGCAGCAGGGTGGGGCTCTCCTCTACTTTTTAAAAAATACATTTTTTTTTAAGTTATAGATAAATGCAATACCTTTATTTGTTTATTTATGTTTTCATGTGGTGCTGAGGATGGAAGGCAGTCCTCCCATGTGGGAGGGGAGGCGAGTGCTCCACCACTGAGCCCCGCCCCAACCCTCTCCTGTTCTTTCCTCCACTGCTGGGATGGAGCCGGGGCCCCCGCACACGCCGGGTGAGCATTCTCCACTGAGCTGCACTCCCAACCCTTCCTGTTATGAGACAGGCCTCAAACTGGCCACCTTGCCTCACCTCCCAGGTAGGATCACAGGTGTGTGGCCCTGCACCTGGCTCCGGGGCTCTGTTCTTCAGATGACGAACATATTCTGGAATGAGGTGTGTTGATGTCACACACTATGCAAATAGTCTAAAATCAAAGGGATCTGCATACTCTAACACAAATTTCGTGGTATGTGAATTCTATCAATTACAATGCAATTCTTGGGTTAAGAGATGTCCTCAAAGTCAAGATTTAAGGTTTAAATGGAGACTGAAGCATTCAGTGCTTCAAAGGCTGCCCGAACGAGCAGTGGAGCAGAACCTAGGTTCCTCTCTCAGCACACACTGTGGGGTCCTGACCACGCTCCCTTCCAAAGCTCCTCTCCTAACAGTGTCCTCAAAGCAAAGCAAAGTAAAACCCACACATCAAGAATTCAAACACCCCCCTGCCCCGGCCCTGTCCACACTCACGCACTCTGGGCAACGCTTGAAAGCCACTGCCTGGGGGCGGGATGGTGCAGGAGCCTTCCAGCTGCTGCTGGCTCTCCACTCTCCCTTTGGGTCAACTTAAAAAAGCACTGTGTCTGAGGGCCTCCGTCCCCACCCTGCCTGCGCCAGCCCAGCATCGCCCTCTGGAGAAGCATCGCTTCTCCCGGACGCACCGGCACCACAGGCACCTTCAAGTGCACAAGCGCGTCTCCCATGCCGAGACCTGCCTCCTGGAGTGGGGTCACCACCACTACCCCCGCCACCACCCCCATTTTTGGTGAATTTTAAGTTCAGCTGTTGTTGTTATCAGTCTGAGACAGGGTTTCCCTTGCTGCCCTGGCCTTAAACTTCTGGGCTCCAACAGTCTTCCTGCTCCCGTCCCGAGCAGCTGGGACTCAGGCCACCCACCATGCTTGGGTCCAGCTTGTCTGTCTGTTGGTGCTAGGGATAGGGTTCGGGGCCTTACACGTGCTAGGCAAAGGTTCTGTCCCAGCTCTTTCTTTAACTTTGACACAGGGCCTCACTGAGTTGCCCAGGCTGGCCTCGAACTTGCGATCCTCCTGCCTCGGCCTCCTGATATTTGGTGAGCCACTGCACCAAACTCCTGGATTACTGAGCACGTGAGTTTGCATTTGACTTTAGGATTTCCCTTTGGTTCTCTTTATTTCACGTCACACACACCCGTCACTGAGCCAGCTCACACATCCTTCTCGAGGCTGGCATTTCGCAACAAAGGGTACATGAGAGACCACTCATGGTTGTCCTGACTCTGGGGGCACCCTCCCAGCCTGGCGCGGCCCGGGCCTTCCCTCCTGTCTCTCCCAAGGGGTCTATTTCCTCAGACCCCATGCTCTCCTCTAGCAGTGTCCTTAAAAGAGTCATTAAATTTTTGAAAACATGCATGTCTGAAATGGCTCCCTTCCCCTTGCACAGAAGCTGAGGTGTGGAGAGCCAGCTGGCCGCTGCCTGCCCAATGCTGCTGGCTTCAAGGGCTGTTGGCAACATGGCCGGTCCACTTGGAGCTTCTCCTTCCTTCTTCCTCCTTGGAAGCTTTCCACGGTGACGACCCTGGGGCCACCTCTGAGCAGGGCGGGCATGGAGGCTCTGCCGCTGGAGGCCTCCCTGGGTGCCTGCCTGCCTGCCTGCCGTCACCTCAGGGTCTCTGTTTCCCTCTCCTGACTTTACTCTGCCTGGCGGTGACAACTCCCGCTCTGTCACTCTGCCAGCATGGTCCCTAGTCCTTCATCTGGAAGCACCTGCTTGTCACCTTGCTCTTCCCAAAGCACCCTGCCTGTTCTTACTTCTGAGTTTTCTGAAAACGTGACATAGTGACACACCAACCAGGTCTGAGGTGAGACTCGAGCACCCCGCCCCCCCCCCCCCGCCCCTCCTACCATCCTGCAGCCTGCCGCAGCGCCCACTGCTCGGCTGCCCAGGGGCTGGGTGTGGAGGGTGCCCTGCCTGCTTTCCCACGGCCTCGCACCCAGAATATGAGCGTGCACCATTCATTTAAACTGGCCTCTTGGGTTAATTCCCAGTATTTCAGGATGACAAACAAGGCCAGAATGAAAATTATAAAATGGATTTCACACTTGTGCCCAAGGAAGACTGCTTCTCTCAGCTCCACTCAGCAGGGAGCAGGGTTCCGTCTGCCAAGCTCTGACAGGGGAAGGCTATCCTTGGTGGAGTTCTGCCCGTCTGTGTCTGCCATCCCGGTGCCAGCTCCACTTGTTCTGAGTGAGCTAGTACCTCTCTACCAGAGGGGCTCTCCCCAGCTGCCCACTGCTGGGCCGAGTGCAACAGGCTCTCGGGGAGCAGGCTTGAGGCCTTCCTGGCAGGGCCTGGTTCAGTGATGCAGCTCAAGGGCTTCCAGAGTAGCTGGACGTCTGTGTGGTGGCGAAGGGTCTCCCTGGACTGCTTCTCAGGGAAAAGAGATCAACCAGCAATGCCACAGAGGAAGGACCAGAAACACCCCTGGTGAGCACAGACGGCCCAGGCACCTGATGGCGCCCCAGGCTGAAGGGCAGGACGACATTCCAAGGGTCCAGCTGGTAAGGCACCCCCGAGTCTAGCGGGGAACAGAGGGAGTACGTCGTTACAAAGAAGAAAAACATGCTCCCCAATGCTGCTGAGGCCAGACGTCACGCCTGGTCCCAGCTGGACCCTGTCCTGGAGGGAGCAGAGCGTAGACCTACTGTGCTTGTTGACCAACTGGGAAACAATGGTGTCCTGGAGAACAGAGGTGCACCAATGGTGTCAGTGACGGCTGCACATGGCACCTGGGGCAAAGGGCGGCACGTGCTGAAGGGGCGTCTGACTCTCAGACGCCTCAGAAAACACTGCGTGCCAGGCGTGGTGGCCACCTGTCACAATCTGGGAGGTTGAGGCAGGAGGACTGCAGTTCGAGATCAGCCTGGGCAACTTAGTGAGGCCTGTTTCAAGACATAAAAGACTGCAAGTGCAGCTCAGTGGTGGGGCAAGGAACACGACAGAACAAGGCCACGGAGCCACGATGTGGGAGGGCGGGGGGTGGGGTGCAGGCAGGGAGGCCAGCAACCAGCAAGAAGGCCCAGTGCTGGGCTGGGGATATGGTTCTAGCGGTAGCACGCTCGCCTGGCATGCGTGCGGCCCAGGTTCGATCCTCAGCACCACATACAAACAAAGATGTTGTGTCCGCCAAAAACTAAAAAATAAATATTAAAAAAAAAAAATCTCTCTCTCTTTAAAAAAAAAAAAGAAGCCCCAGCGCAAGCGCCCGAGGGCAGCCAGATGGAGCCCACAGGGCTCTATGCACCTGTCTGCAGGCTGGAGGCACTCAGGGCCGTCTCAGCAGGGCTTCTTTAGTGGCTGTCAGTGCAAGCCCAGCACCAACTGCTCAGCTCCTTCCAGGCTCCTGGACTCTCTGGTCCACAACACTCCAGGGGGCTGCAACCCGGGGGCCCGTTGTGTCCCCACTGTGGGCCTCCCTGAGTACTTTCAGAGAGGTGCTTCCCTCTCGCAGCACCAGCACCGGCTCCTCTGTTTCCCACCTGGGCTGCAGGTGCTCTGCACACAGATGACCGGTTCCCAGCCACGGCATCCCGGCAGAGCTGCCCAAGTGTCCAACTGTGAGTCCCCCTCCCCACAAAGAGCCAGAGCTGTGGTTGGGTGGGACTCTCAGGGGTGAGCTTTGGTTCAGCATTAGGATAAACAGGAGCAGGGAAGGGAGTGGGCGACCCTGGGAGGAGGCCCCTCAGGCACACACAGAGATCCACCTACAACACAGCAAACAGCCCCAGTCGCTCAGCCCCCGCCCCTCCTGTGCCCGCCACCCACCTGGAACACCAGGACACCCATGTGCGACACTGCCAGGTTAATCTTGGTCCCCTCCCTGTCGGAAGCTGTGTGGAATCTGATACCATACATCTCCAGCTTGCGAGCAATCTCCAGCACCTGGAAATCCGACTCAGCAGGCGTCTGGCCCCTGTAAGGAAGGACACTGGATGGCATCACTGAGACCCTGGGTTTCTGCAACAGCCACACATATGAAAGAAGCCGCCCAGTAAAGAGAGAACAAGAAGGCCAACCAGCAAGGAGGTCCTGCAGCTCCTGCCTCTGTGCCCACCCCATGGGCGATGTGCAGGCAGAGCACTGAGCTCCCCACCAAGCCTCTCCCTAGTAGCAGAGTGCTCCTCAGGTTCACTGACTGCTGCAGGAGGGACAAGGTCACATGCAGCCATCAAAATTAAGTCAGAGAAGAGGTCACTGATGACACCACTGACTCATTAAGGCCAATTTCATGTTTAAGAAGGTATTTTCATAATGTACACTTCTAAGCGCTACAATACACTTCTATAAAGACCAAGTAACAAAGTTGAATAAAAATATCATTCTCGGGCTGTGGCTGTGGCTCAGTGGTAGAGTACCTGCCTTGCATGTGTGTGGCACTGAGTTCAATCCTTAGCACTACATGAAAAAAAGTAAATATATTGTGTCCATCTACAACTACAAAAAAAAGTATTTAAAAATCATTCTCTAAACAATTGGCTTTATTCATATAGTCTTCCAAAATGTCATCTTTGCCCAATCCAAGGTGCAGGTGATGTCACCAAGGAACACTGAACATGGTCCTCGGGGAAGCAAGTGGCCTCCAGGAGAGCAACGTTCACATGCATCTTGGCTGGGGCCAAGGAAGACACAACTATTGGCAAGCCACGAGAGCCCATGCCCACATGTGGGAGCTCCCGGGACCCCACAGCCCGTGCCCACATGTGGGAACTTACCTAACAACTCTTCCTTTTTGTGTCAAATACCTGAGTTTTTGAATCTTCAAGGAACAAAGTGACTATGTGGATTCTCTGTCATTGTGACTTCTGTTCCAGGACTATGCTGTGGACACTGACCACTGCCTTATATGTTCATAAACCCCAATCACCACGAAGAGGACCCAGCACAAAGTATACTGCATTTTAACAGGTACCAATTGGAAATACTAATTATTTGCAAAGCCACCAGGGAACATTTCCCACCCCTCTTCCTTTTGTTGTGGAACTAGGGACTGAACCCAGGGGCATTCTACCACTGAGCTACACACTCCCGGCTCTTTTGAGACAGGACCTCGCTAAGTTGCCCACACTGGTCTTGAACTTGCAATCCTCCTGCCTCAGCCTTCAGAGCTGTTGGGATCAGAGGCGTGTGCCACCATTCAATGCATAGGTGGACAACCACTCCACCTATGGTTGAGGAGTCAGGGGTTTCCTAACTATGTTTCACTACTCAGTTCTGTACTTCTCACAGGAACCGGATCCACAGCCAACTGCAAAACCTCCTCCCGCAGTTTCTAAGATCCAAAAGAAATGTGGTGACATCAAGAAAAACACATCTGGATATCTTGTCCAAGGCTTATAAAGGATTTCCAGTGGGTTGTGGAAGAGCCATTAGAATTCTGAGACAAAGTAAGAAACTTACTTCGATTAAAATAAAGGTATACTATTTTTAAAAAAAAATATATATTTTTTAGTTGTAGTTGGACACAATACCTTTGTTTTTATGTGGTGCTGAGGATTGAACCCAGGGCCTCGCGCTTGCTAGGTGAGCATGCTACCACTGAGCCACAATGCCAGCCCAAAGGTACATTATTAAAAAATTTTTTTTGTTATAGATGGACATGATGCCTTTATTTTACTTATTTTATGTGGTGCCGAGGATCAAACCAGTGCCTCACACATGCTAGGCAAGTGCTTCACCACTTGCCTACAAAGCCCCCCAAAGGTACACTACTGTCTTTAAAACTTCAGCTGGGCTGGGGCTGTGGGTCAGTGGTAGAGCGCTTGCCTAGCACGTGTGAGGTGCTGGGTTCAATCCTCTGCAACACATAAAAATAAATAAAGGTATTGGAAGAAAAAGAATTGAGCAAACAATGTTATAATCTGAGGTGTCCCCTGAAAGCTCATGTGTGACACAATGCAGGAATATTTGGAATTTAAGTGATTGTGAGAGGTGTGACCTAAGCAGTGGGTCAGTCCACTGATATGCATTAACTGGGTGCTACCTGTGCAGCAGGGAAAGGAGTCACTAGGGGACGTGCCTTTGGGTTTCTCTTTTCCTCCTAGTTGTCATGTCTTGAGTTGTTTCCTCCTCCACACCTTCCAATAATGATGTTCTGCCTCACCTTGAGCCAGAGCTATGGCGTTGGCTGACCATGGCCCGAGCACCTGAAACCATGAGCTAAGTACACTTTTCCTCCTCTAAGTTGCTGCTGGGTTTTGGTCACAGTGATGTAAAGCAGACTCCAACAGAAACTGGGACCAGGAGTGGCACATACTGGAAACTGGATCAGAACCATTCCTTTTATGTTTTAGCTAAGAACTTGTTCACATTTTGTCCATGCCCTGAGATTTTCTGTGAGACTGAATTTAAAGTTGATGAAGTAATTAATCTGCAGAGGAAGTTTCAAGGCAGCACAGGTAGGTGGCATGGACACTGCTGGCAGCTTTTAGCCAGGTTTACTGTGATAAGCAGAGCAGAGCAGGAAGATCTGAAAAACTCACAGTCAAGCTAGAAAACTGGGGCTAAGGCGGCGTGGTCGAGAGATCACAGCACTGAAGATTCGCTACGACCTTTACCAAGAAACAAGAGGAAAGGTGACGTAGGGCATCTCAGGAACTGGCAAGAGAATGCCCACTTCAGGCCCGAGGTTGTAAAAGCCATTCCTCTGACAAGAGACCCTGGGGCACCCTGCTTGCACGAGGGGCCTGGAGATCATTGCACTGTGCTCAGCCACCCAGGCACTCAGGTTACTGCAGCCTGTCTCAGAAGGCGTGGCTACTGCCAGGTGGCAGACCCTGGCATCAGTCATGTGCTGGTTCTGCAGAACTGCAGGCCACTGGAGTTAGTCATGGAGGCCAGGGAGAGTGCAGCAGGGTGGGAGTCCCTGAAGGCCACCTCAGAGAGGCAACGCATGAAGATGTGGGAAGGAGGCTGAAGCTCAGCGGAGACCCCCAAGGGAAGAGACGCTGGCACCATGGGACGTCTGCTGAGGACAGCATCAGGAATTGTGCAAGAGATGAGTGGAGAGAGCGGCTATGTGGCTGCGACCAGTGAGGTCCCAGGGAGCTACAGGACCTGTTGCCCGGCTGGAATCTGCTCCTGCTTTGGTCCCATCCCTTCTTTCTAGGCTTCCGTTTATCCTTTGCAGAATGAGAGTGTTCACTCTTTGCCAGTTTATACTGGAAATATGTGACTTGCTTTTGACCTTTACAGAGGAGAAAACCTAGAGTTTGTCAGATGAGACTTTGGACTTGGACTCTTGGTGATGCTGGAACTGTCAGGACTATGGGGACTCTGGGAAATGGTCTAAATGTTTTACACTGTGAGATGGGCATGACTTCTGGGGGGGCAAGGCGGAATGTTATTGTTTAAATATGAGGTACCCCCCCAAAATCTCACGTGTGAGACAATGCAAGAATTTTCAGAGGTGAAATGATTAGATTATGAGAGGAGTAATCTAATCAGTGGATCAATCCACTGATATGGATCAACAGAGCTGTAACTACAGGCAGGTAGGGGTAGCTGGAGGAAGCAGGTGACTGGGGCTGTGCCTTTGGGGGCTTATCCTTTGTCCCTATGAGCAGAACTCTCACTCTCTCCTCTGTTGTCCCGACACAAGCTGCGTCGCTCTGCCATGACGTTCTTCTGCCTCTCAAGGGCCCAGAAGTATGCAGTTGGCTGATCATGGACTAAACTTCTGAGACTGAGGGCCAAAATGAACTTTTCCTCCTCTCTATTGCTCCTCTCAGGTCTCTTTGCCTCAGTCACACCAAGCTGACTAAAACAAAGAGTTAAAAAAACGAAGGATGTGCAACGTACCTGTCATGGCTGCGGCAGACAAAGTGAGCACCCAGAGGCAGTGCCAAGGGCCCTGATTTGTGGAGCGATCCAGCTCACTGCAGGGAGCACCACACATCTTAAGGCACACACATGTGCAAACACATACATGCATATATACAAACACAGGCATATGCACATGACCACAGCACACAACCCACATGTGAACATGCAAGAACGTGTGTGTATACACAGCAACATGAATATACATAAACACAGAGCATACCAGGAACAGAGACACACCATGAACACGTGTGTATGATCACATACCTAGAAGTACACACGCACATGGACACAGAGGCATACACATACACACAGGAGCATACCTGCACACATAGGGACACACACAGCTCTCCCTTTCATGGGCAGGCTTCTCATCCTAGATGCAGTAAACCCAGGACCTGCTCTGAGCGTGCACTGAGGCTGAAGTGGTCACAGGTGCACTTCTCTCTGACCTCTCTGGGATGGGGTAAGCCTCTACCCAAGGTGCTATGGCCTGAAACATGCCTTCCATGCCCTGGGCTGCTTGAGGGCTTCCTATGGGTGCCTCCGGCGTCACCCACCTCTCCGGGCTCGTGCTCTGTGGGGGGTCCCCGGCTCTCCTCCCTTCCAGGTCTCACTGGCTGCACAGGTACACAGGGCCTGCATGCTGAAACACGCTCCCCAGCGTCCTGAACCCATCTGTCCACTGGGATGGGCTAAACAGTGCCCAATCCACTCTTCCTCAAGGTGTCCAGACCCTGCTCTGTGTTTTTCGGCAGGGAGGAATAAGTCCTGCATGGGTGACGGCCTCCCCTTGGAGAGGGCCTTCTGCTATGAGGGCCTCAGGGTCTGGCACTCACAGTAGCTACACCTTCCCTGCCATCAGCTGGGGGAAAGCCAAGGGGCACCCAGGGCAACAGAGCCGTCAGAGAAGGCAAGTGGACGCTGGGCTACAAGCACTGAAAGACACCCAGGCAGCCTGCACAGTATACCTATGGCAGGGCTCTGCAAACTCTCACCCATGACAAAGGGACAACGACAGGATGTACCACATGGGTGTTTATGGACTACGTGAAGCACTGGGCACAGGGGCCTGCTTGCCATGGCACTCTCTCTGATGGCAATGGCTGTGCCTTCTCTATCAGCTGGCATGCTGACTATGTCGAAGCTGGAACCGTCCCTCCCCCACCCTTTCTCCCAGGCTATGGCTGTGCCTGACTGCCACCTCCTTTGCTGCATGCCTTCAGAGGGCCTTCCCACTGCCAAGCAGGCTCTGCCTGCGACCCGAGCTCAGGGACACTGGGGCTGTGCTTGCTGTGCACTCAAATTCTCACCCAAAGGGGTGCTTCTCTGATCTGGAACCTGCCGTAATGCCAGGCATATAAAAGGTACTCCCCGCCCACTGACTGGTCACAGGCATGTGACCCACAACATCTCACAGGGTCCCCGAGTCCAAGGGAGCTGTTCACACTGACCCAGCAGTGCTGAGACAGGGAGGACTGCAGCCGTGCCTGGCACTCAGACCCTGCACAGGGAGTGCGAAGGCCACCGCCAGGTCGCAGGGCAGTGTCACCAAGGCTGCAGTGCAACATTCGCCTGAGGGCAGGAGGAGTCTTCCAGAAGGCAGGAGGGTCCTCAGGCCACGTCCCACAATGACTAAGAGTCAGAGCTCTCAGCCCCCAGGGCCCTTCCCACTCAGCACCTTCCATGCCCTACATCCTGTCTCAAGAGGAAGCTGTTGGAGTAGGTCAAAGAGTGGTTTTCAGCACGACTACCACCAGCAATGTGCGCAAATGCTCCTTCTGTCCCACTCCACAAGTGACAAGTTGCTTCAGGATGAGGATCCCGCCTGGCCCTGGGTGCAGTACCCCCTGGCCAGGTCCCTCCAGGCAAGCAGAAGTCCCTATCAACAGAGTGCTCTACTTGCCAGCCTCCTATACAAGCCCTGGGGTCCTCAGCCTGAATGAGCAGGGTCTGTGTCTGAACCTAGTCTAGCTGTGACCTGTGTCAGCAGAGCCACCCTGGGGCCACAATGTGTCCTGAGGCTGGGAAGCAACAGGTGTCATTCCTTTAGAATCCCACAGAAGCCTGAACAAGGACCCCTTCTGGTTGCGAGGACCCCTTCTGGTTACATGCCAGCAACCGCAACTGCAGTGACAAGGCACTTACATGTGCCTCTGATGGAAGTCCAGGATCTTCTCGAGGCAGCACTCCTGGCTAGGCAAGTACTCGTGGGCCTTGAGGTGTTCTCGATCCAGGGTTTCATCGTAATCTCCTATTTCCGCTGAGATGAGACGATAGAAGTCAGTTGTTCAGATTATGAAATAAAGTAACAGACAAGCATTTGTACGTGCACATGCACAAACCAACAGTAAGAAAACCCACCCTAAGTCTGTAGTAAAATAATATATTCCTGTTTTTTTTCCCCCTGGTATCGGGGATTGAACCCAGAGATGCTTTACCACTGAGGTACATCCCCAGTTCTTTTTTTTTTTTTAAATTTTATTTTAGTTGTTGATGGACCTTTATTTTATTCATTTATTCACATGCAGTGCTGAGGATTGAACCAGTGCCTCACACATGCTAGGCAAGTGCTCTGCCACTGAGCCCCAGCCCCATCCCCAGGTCTTTTTTATTTTGAGACAAGGTCTTGCTAAGTTGCTGAGGCAGCCCTCCAACTTGCCATTCTCCCATCTCGGCATTCTGAGTCATTGGGAACACAGGCGTGTGCCATTTTGCCTGGCAAAATGATATATTCCTAAAAAAAAACTAAATTTGTACCTTAGTTTTCCAAATATTTTATGTTGTCCAACTAAGAGGGCAGGTGGAAGAAATTTTTCCTGACTCCTAAAGAGCAAAGATTGGTGAAGGGTTTCAAAGAGGCTAATCATGAGCCCCGAGTCTGTGTGCTCACTATTTTTTACACCACACTTCATAAGTAAACTGTCTCATGGCCATTGTGACCAGGTTAATGTATGTTATTTGTTTCAAGATGATGTATTTTAAATCACTTTTTCCTGAAGGGCTTCTCAAATTTCCTAAGAAATAATGTCTGTGATTTCATGTTACTTTAAGACCATAAATGTTTTTTTTAATATTTATTTTTTAGTTTTCATGGACACAACATCTTTATTTTATTTTTATATGGTGCTGAGGATCGAACCCAGTGCCCCGCGCATGCCACGCGAATGAGCTACCACTTGAGCCACATCCCCAGCCCCCATAAATGTCTTTGGATGCAGTATTACATTCAATCATTTCAAGCAATACATGCTTCTGAAATGTTCTAAAACAATCCTGAATTCACAGGAAGGTTGCGAGCACAGCACCAACTGCCCACCTGGAGCCAATGGAGAGTGAACCACCCACACTGTGCCCATCCACGATGCCAGTGGGGACATTCTGACTCACAGCACAGTGCGGCCAGAGTGTCAGCTAGCTGCCTCTCCTAAGTGCAGGCCCGTCTCTACAGCAGCAGCCCTGGTTCAGAGCACCCTGCTACAAGGCAGCACCCCTGGGAACACTGCGGTGGGCCACTGCTGACTCTGGCAGCCCAGCCAGACCACACAGAGCCCTCTACAAGTGCTTCTAGCCAGCAGCCAGGAGGAAGCACCCAAGTGCTGCCTGTCAAACAGGGTCTCTGGCCCCACTGAAAAACTCAGACTCAGTTTGAGATTCTCTTTGAGAGTGTGTCGTGGAGTCCACAGTACAGGACAGCCCCAGCAGGGCATGTGTGCCTGAGGAAGGGTGGGGACTGCAGATAGCCCCGCACTTACTGACCCCACAGTTCTTGCAGCCACACATGCCAACCGTCCTGCACTCACAGCTCAGAGACACATGCGTGTGAGGCCGTGGTGCTCCAGGGGGCAGCAGTGTGGGCATGCCCTCTCCAGCTGACAGGTGGCTCTGGGGCCTTGTGGCACATGTCTGCTTCTCAGGTCCCACTGCTAAGGGACCCACCACCCTTCACACACCTTGCCTATCTCTTGCTGGTAGGGGACACTGTGGAAAGGCCTGCTTTCTCCTCCACCATTAATGCTTCACTCCTCCCAGAGGACTGTGGCTGGCTCCCAGGAGGCCCCTCTCTGGGTGTGCTGAGAATCTGGTTGATGGTCTAGATCTAGACTGAAGGCACACTGTTAAAATGCACAAAGCCATAGGTGAGAGGAGACTCAAGAAGGACTGTGGGTACAGAGTTTGGCCTCCAGCCTCGAGGTGGAGACATCTGTTAGGATGTCTTCACAGAAGGTGACCCTTGGCCACCGAGAATGAGACTCATGGGCTGGGGCTGTAGCTCAGTGGTAGAGCACTTGCCTGGGCACATGTGAGGCACTGGTTTGATCCTTAGCACCACATAAAAATAAATGAATAAATAAAGATATTGTGCCCATTTACCACTAAAAAAAAAAAAAAAAAAAAAAAGAATGTGACTCAGAAGGCTGAGGCAGGTGTCTGAGGCCAGCCTTGGCAATTTAGCTAGCATCTGTCTGAAAATTAAAAAATAAAAAAGGCCTGAAGATATATCTCAGTGGTATAGTGCTTGCCTAGCCCAGGGGAGGCCAATGGTGAACACAAATTCCTCAGCACTGCAAACAAATAAGAAAAAAAAGAATAAAATCAAGGTGAATACTTCATTCTTTGAGGTGATTATGCATGTGCACCAGCAACTAACTGTGGCTCGTCCTTAGTGTGGTGCCTAAGACCCAGCCGGTACCAGCTCCCGGGGAGTGGGGAGTCAGAGACACTGACCCTGCAGGAGATGGGATGTGAGCAGGGCCGCTGTGGTGGCAGTGCAGGCCAAGCGCTCTTCCTGGAGGTCTCTCTTGAGTTGCAAGGCAAACAAGTACCTAGAAGGGAATTCAAGACCAGAGAGGTCAGCTCCAAATGTCCTCTGTCGGCAGGAAAGCAAAGAGGCCCCAGAAGCAGCAGTAACCAGCAGGGAGCAAAATGCAGGGCCCCCATGAAACAGGCAGGTCACAAAAGGCCTTATGGCAACAGGTGGCCCCAACCAAAGGTCAGATGACAGATGGGTTCAGTAGACTGAACACAGCTCAGAGAGCACACAGGCAAAGCCATGCAAAAAGGAACCATCCCCTCCAGGCATACCACAGACCCACAACCACACTGTGTGCAGCAGTGCCTCCAGCTAGGAGGTCCACAAACTCATGGTATAAAACTGTACTCAGTCTTGGGTGAAATACCAGAAATATACAATTAAGACACAGCTTAAAACTATGACTGGGAAAATCTTTAATAGACTGATAATATCTGTCTCAGCTAGAATCTGAGAAACAGGCACTGTGAAATACAACTGATGATAATGTGAACAGAGAAAGCAGTTGGAAAATATTTCCATATTCACTTGTTGGGTAATGACAGCATGTGTTAAGTTCCAGGTCCTGGTCTCAGAGCGCAAATGCAATGGTGCACACTAATTCCCTCCCCTCCCTGGAATTCGCAATGCAAATAGTGCAAGCCATTAAAATTTACTACATTCTCTTGCAATTTACGATTTGCTGCCTTTTAAACTCAGTAGTTCCACTCCTACAAAATTTTTCTAGAGGGCTGGGGATGTGGCTCAAGTGGTAGCACGCTCGCCTGGTATGCGTGCGGCCCGGGTTCGATCCTCAGCACCACATACAAACAAAGATGTTGTGTCCGCCAATACTTGAAAAATAAATATCAAAAAATTAAAAAAAGAAAAGAAAAAAAAAATTAAAAAAAAAAAAATTTTTTCTAGAGTGATATTCTTGGAGTTCAAAAATGACAGCTGTTTGCAGCATTTCGTCAGAGAGAAACTGGAATATGAGAATGACTGAGTGAATCCAGGCACAGCCTGCGGGCTCAGGCGGAAGGTCGGCCGCAGCTGCCTGTCTGCCGCGAAGACCGTGTGAGAAGGCACTTCCCCGGGTCTTGCCACTCGTCAGGAAGACTCCTGCTCAAGCACTGGCACTTACCTGGAGAGTGGGGTCTGTGAGCAGGGACAGAGAACTTTTGCTTTTTATTCTACATACTGTGATGTGAAAAAGTTTTTCTTTTGTCAAAACCATGTACTTTTTAATAAATAAAAAAAAGGACTGACTGCTTAAAAATGAGGCAAAGGGAAGCAAAGGTCAAACTGACTCCCGGGTCTGATTGCTAAGGTTGAGGCCAGGGTTCTAACTTGGAGAGCACTTCCTGTTACCAACAACTGTTAGGAGACCTATTTCAGAGCGAGTCCCTCCAGAGACTCAACAGGCTGCCAGCTACACTCTGTTCACTCACAGAGGCACTCCGTAGCCCTGCAGTGGGGTCTCCTTAACCTCAAAACAGAGGCGGAGGGCAAGAGCTCTCTCCCTCTCCTTGCTGTGACCGTTCCCGATTCCCAGATGTCAACATGACCTCAAGAAACCTTTCAGAGTTTCTGAGATGCTGTGGGTCCAGCCGGGACTCAGGGCAGAGAGGCGCTCTGCTGCTGCTATGACAAGGCCCCCGTCCTCTGTGACCTGCACCTGACCTGGGGCTTCAAGCTGGCTTTTAGGTCCTGCTTTACTTCTTGCTCTTTCTGCTCTCTCTTTTTTTTAACATACAGGAGGGAAAAAAAAAAAAAAAGCACAAGAAAGGAGTTGCCATCTCCTTACTGACCAGATGACTACTATTCACACTGTCTTTCAATCATTTCTGCAAAAAAGCAACCTTGAATTAAAGGGAGTAGCACAAAAGAAACGGCCTGACGCCTCTGCTCCATGCATCTGCAAGGCCTCGCAGACTGAGCTGCTCCCTAGCCCACGGGGGCTCTGGTTCATGCCAGGCCTGCTCCTGGGGGGGGGGGGTGCCGGCACCACGCTGCCCTGACACAGCCTTCCAGCCTCCGTTCTCAAGTTCCCCCTGTGACCTTCCTTCTAAGCCTGCTGTACATCCAGGTCTGTGCGTGAGTCACTGTCACAGCGCTGCTTTAACCACTCTTCATTTTCTGTTGTTATGTGTGCACTAACTCATCCATTCTTGATCATTCATGGTAGAGAGATAAATACAGGACCCCATGGGCCGCAGCTCCAGTGCAGAGTGAGCTCTTCACCTTGTATATTCTTCTTGCAACTGACCAGGATCAGGTGGGAAGAATTTCACAGCTAGGCGAAGCACTGCATTCTTTGGTCCTATAAAAAGAAACTTTTAGATTCCACAAAAGCTGATTTTTGTATTAATTCTCTTTCCCTATATTACTGTGTAATTGGGTGAGTGCTTTAAAATGGGCTGGGCTGTTAAGCGTTTTCTCCTCTGGTAGGATGGTATTAAAACATTTCCTGTGCACGAGTATGAATCCTAAGCACCAATCACACATACTGAAGAGAAATTTCAAATCTTTTATTTCCCTAAGCAGAGATTATTTTATAAATCCTTTGAAACTGCCCATTAAATTGTGGAATATATTCCTGGGTAGGAGTGTTGCTCAGTGGTAGAGCACTTGCCTAGCATGCATAAGGCCCATGTTCAATCCCCAACATCATTAAAAAAATTTTTTTAAATCCCTGTTTACATTTTAGGATAAAAATGATGAAGTTCAAGTGTTAATACCATTTTAATGCAGTAGTAAAAAAATTTTTTTGAAATCCTTATATGTATTAATGAAAGAAAATGTTACTACCACTTACTATACTGAACTAGAACTGATTTTTGTAAGGAAAAGGCATAAGATATAGCTGAACTGAATGCCTTTGTGCCACAGAAATTTAATAGTAAAACAGCATGCGATTTCCACCACAAGAGCAGCTGCTCTTTCACCCGGCGGCCGTCACCGACCACTGTCGCCAAGTCTCGGGCACTGTCTGTGACTGCACACACCAGATTTCTCCTCCACATGTGCCTACTGGTGTGTTGTAGCTAGCTGCACATGTGGTTGGATGTACAGTTGTATGTTTGCACATGCACACAATATAATGAGGAGGAGCCATTTGCTAAGACACTAGGGAACCTAAACAGCCTTCGCGCATCTGTGCAGGACAAAGTTACTTTCACACATCCTCTTGTCTTCAACTTTGTACTAGAAAAAAATAGTTATGGTGATTCAGAAAATTAGAGACTTTATCGTATATGATATATATAAGAACTGAGGACTACTACTGTATGCCTTCATATTTAAATTTAATAAGGAAACTAACAAAAACAATTATGCTCACAATTACAATTACGTTTATCATTATGGAACAGTATTAACATTTTATCAAAATGCTACCTATGGGCTGGGGATGTGGCTCAGTGGTAGAGCTCTTGCCTGACCTGCAAGAAGTCCTGGGTTCAATCCCCAGCACACCAAAATAAGTAAGCAAGCAAGCCAGCAAGCAAGCTACCTAAGAGAGGCACCATAGTGCATTTTCACAGCCTGTGTACAAAGTGCATGCTTACTGTTTTACATATTAGCCAAAATTTAAGATACCAAACAATATATCCTATAACTTCCAATGTGAGGTGGTCACCCAGGACCACCTGAGACAGATGTGTCATCCCACCCACCTCTCCTCTACAGCTGTAATCAAGAGCAAACAGCTTCTAAGCTCATCTGCCGTGGAGTGACACAAGTGTGTGGACACACCTACAGCCTCGGCATTCTACAACAGGCATCTGGTGACCACAGTTAAGAGAGTTACACAAAGGACTTACTTCGTACTTGCCTAATGATGGGTTTCATAGGTTCAAGCCAGATCTAAAGAGAATTTAACAAAAGAGAAAAACTCGATTAATGATCTTCCTATTTAATAAGTGTATTTTGTATCTTGCTATAAAATACAAAAATACTTATGATTAAGAGAAATTTTTATAACACAGATATTTTGACTCTACTCCCTTTTTATAGAAACCGAATCTCGACAAACCATGGGAAGCTCAGCAATGCCTGCTTCAAGAGCGGGGGGACACTAAACTGCTGTCACACTAGTCATCTCTCCTGAGCCCAGCACTCAGTCACTGTGCACAGGACAGGCACCAGCAATCACCTCGGGGATGTGGTCAACACCACATCGCATTCTCAGACCATAACCCCCGAGAGGGCCACCGCATGAGACAGGCCCCTCTGTGGCACCAGAGCAGAGACCCTCGGGCAAACCCAGCTGTGCAGGGACAGCTGAGGGCCAGACCCAGAGCTAAGCCGACAACATGCTTCCTGAACGGAGAGGCTGATGTGGGTCTCTTTATGACAGTCACATCTAAGAACACTGGGGGATCACACTGTTTAAGGTTTTGTCTCTTAAGTAAAACAAGGCAGAACCAGTTCAATTTGCTCAAAATTCACTTTCAAAATGTTTACTAGGCAGATGCATCCGAGGCTGTTGTGTAACTTGGCACACAGTGCTGTAAGCAGAGTGGGTTTAGGGAGGTGTGAATTCAGGTTCGTTAAAGACGGACATGCTCTTTATGTCTAAAGATAAAGCACTTTAATAGCACAGCGCTGATAAAAATAATGTTCCAATAATCAAACAGCTTGCCTTCATCCTTACAGAAGGTTCCACAGGCTCTACGCACTGAGTACGTCATAAACATCCTATAACACAGTTACAGCCTGTTTCCAAAAGCAAATCAAAAGCACATACCCAGTGGGACTGGACGTTCTGAAACTCCAACCCGAAGTAGTCGCACTCGATCAGGTTCAAGCGCTTCCACACCTGCATCAGCAAGAGCTGGCCGGCACACTTGGGCTGCGGAGAGGCGAGAAGAGCCTGAGGGCCAGGGGACAGGGACGGTCTGGAAAACTGGCACAAGGCTACAGCTCTCACACGAGGCGCAGGTGGCCCTGCTGCACTTCACCTGTGTATGAGCAAGATTTACACACACCACAGAGCACACGAGTCTGCTGAGGCATCTGTGTTTATCCACTGATAGCAAAATAATAAATGTACAGCTCAAAAGTCCTTCCATTTTACATTCTTACTGTGTTTTTAGTTGTATTTCTCTGGCATATAATGATTTCTAGTTTCAGTAAACATTTCACCAAATAATTTTGACATCTGCTCAAAAGTGGAGCTCCACAGTCTCTGTTTACATAGGCTCCCAGTGAATAATTTACTATTTGACAGCATTTCACATTATGGAGAAGAACGTGAACTGTTCAAAAACAAGGTGGGGCATGTCAGCTCTCCAGAAGAAAAATAAAGTGATGTCCTACTTTATACTATTCACAAAAACAAACTGCAACGACTAAAGACTAAAATAAAACAGAGTAGACTGTTTCTATACTCCTGGGGATCATAAATCATAAATAGGTGAAGTCTTCCTAAGCATAGCCCAACAGGAAGACCAGCAGTCTGCCTACCCAGAGCTCCTGAAAAGGAAGATGTCTAACAAAGCTATGATCTACAATCACACTAAAAAGACAAGATGGTCCTGTTTTACTCTTGGCAATCGGGTGAAGAAACACAACAGTTGTTAGGCATTTAAAAAGGTATTAAACCCCTCTGACAACAGGATCAACTACAACAGGGAGACTTCATGTGCCTGTGAGAAAACAGCCCCACACAGAGCTGGGGGTGTAAGTTAACACGACCTGGGGCGGGGGAACGTGAAAATACTTTTCAGAATTTCAAGTGTTCATTTACCTTTGCCCCAGCAACTCCACTTCCAGAATGTTCCCTACAGATATTCTCATAAACTGCACAGAGCTAATTCCATAGGACAAATTCAGCAAAGGGCTGGTGGAATAAGTGCTAGCCCAACCATACTGGAAAAGGGTGCAAGCCCAGAAGAACACGGAGCTCTCTGGGGATCATGGAGCACAGTCCTCCACACAGGCTGGCCGGGAAGAAAATCCCAGTCTGCATTCCCATGGGGTGCAGGTAACAGGACAGTTTTGACACACACACACACACACAAACACACACACACACAGTAGAAATAACTGTGATGGCTATACACTAAATCTTTAAAGTAACCACCATTATAGCACTGAACAGAGGTGGGAGGCCAGGGGCCTCTTGTTTCTTCAAGTCTGTCATCTCTGAATGAGGAGGGACACATCATTTTTACAAAATAATATGCCAGATGGATGTGGTGGTGCCTGCCTGTGACCTCAGCTACTCTGGAGGCTGAGGCAGGAGTATCCTGAGTTCTAAGGCCAGGCTGGGCAACTCAGGGAGACCCTGTCATGAGACAAAACCAAAAAACAAACAAACAAATAAAGAACCCAAGAGTCCCATGCCAGTGAGGAAAAGGCAGATGTCCATTGCTCCCTGAAGTTTAACCCCAGATCCTGTTAGCCAGTGCTCATGCTCCTAAGAGGAGACTTCTTAGGAGGAATGAAAACCTGCAATTCCTTGTTACAAAGAATTGTAACAGTGAAAACCTCCTCAAAATGGACAGTGGGAGATGAGCTAGTGACCTTACAAATATGTTAAATCTAATTTTATTTTTGGTACTGGGGATTGAACCCAGGGTGCTCTACCACTAGCTGCACCCTTAGTCCTTTCTGTTTTGAGACAGGGTTTCACAAATTGAGAGACTGGCCAAGAACTTGCTGTCCTCCTACTTCAGGCTCCCAGGGACCCGAGATTCTTCTGGGTTGATGCCACTCTGATGCGGTGGGCATCTCAGAGGGGTACATCAGTGCTCCTAGCTCAGGAGATGCAGCCGCAGCAGCCCTTTCAGATTGAGCACCAAGCCTCCAGGGTTGGCTGGCCAAGAAGAAATCATGGCGGAAACCAACTCCTCCCAGGAGAGATTGGACAGCTCAGCATTTTTTTAGGGCTGGGGATACGGCTCAGCTGGCAGAGTGCTTGCCTTGCATGCACAGGCTCTGGGTTCCATCCCTAACTCCACAAACAAACAAATCCGTACAGAAATTAAAGATAAGAAAAACACCGACAGCTCATGCTTCAGACAAAGGGCTAATTTCTTCAAAAAACATGGAAATGCAAGAATCCTGAGTGAAGATCTCACCTTAACTGCAATGTACAAAGCGCCCTGACGGCTGACCTTGGGAGGTCCTTGGGAGGTCCTGGGAGCTGGAGCTTGGCTGGCTGTGTCTGCTGTGGCTGCTCACCGACAGCCTTCAGGTACACACAGGGAGTGGTGAAAACAGAAGCGTGGAGGCTCCAAGAGCATAATCAGAGACCCACAGATCAAGGTTACACTGAGGTACTTTTTTTGGTCTATCATATTGGCAAAACCTGAAGGGTGGGAAACAGGTGTGCTCACATGGGGCTGGTGAAGGGAGCCAAAGTCAAACACACCCTCATCCCATGACTCATGCTCTAGCAAGTACCTCACAGGTGCAAAACAATGCATACAAAGAAACACGTGTTATGCCGGGGGCGGTGGCGCACACCTGAAATCCTAGCAGCTCGGGAGGCTGAGGCAGGAGAATCATGAGTTCAAAGCTAGCCTCAGCAAAAGTGAGGCGCTAAAATGTTCTGTAGGGAACATTCTGGAAGTGGTGAGATCCTGTCTCTGAATAAAATACAAATTAGAGCTGGGGACGTGGCTCAGTGGCTGAGTACCCCTGAGTTCAATTCCCAGTACCCCCTCGGAAAAAAAAAGAAAGAAATATGTGTTACAATAAGGGTTCTAGTAGCAAAGGATCGAACGTACTCTAACTCTACCAGTATATGACTGCCTAAAAATTACTGAAATCAGACAATGCTATTCCAGACAGAATTTTAAAAAGCCAGTCTGCTGTGTGCTAAAAGGGGAAGGATTCTTGAATATACCAAAAGAAGAAAGGAAGGGGCAGAACAGCACGTATGCCACCGTGTGTGACAGGGGCACATTGGTGAGCATGTGTGATGTGAGGGAGGGAATAAGTTGCACACAGATGTGTGTTTGGTGGAGTGTGTGTGTGCAAAGCTGGGGCATGTGCACGCACGTGTATGTACACAGGCGCTCTCTGCAGGAACCACCACAAGCCAGCAGCAGCCAGGGTTCCAGAACCCAGCTGTGTGCACACCTGCTTACACTTCTCCCCTCTGTCCCGTGGCACGGACCAGACCTGTTAGGTCTGGGTAAAGGCAGGCTGCGTGCCGGAGGAGGGCTGTGGACACACCAGGTTCTGCACAGGGTGGATGAGGCAGGGCATCGACACTGGGAAGGGACCCTGGCCTGGGGGCCAGAGGCCCAGCTTTGCCCATCAGCAGGCTTTGGGGAATGAAGGCCTCCAGGAAAGGGCTGATGCCAGATCGGGGGCAGGGAGGGGACAAGCTGAGCGCAGGGAGAGAAGCCTTCAGAGTGAGAGGCCATGTCCAAAGGAGGGAAGCGCTCCTCACTGGCCAAGTCTGGGGCAGCCTGAGCATCACAGCAAGCAATGGCAGTGCCGTGGTTCAGATGTGAGGCGTCCCCAGAGCCCAGGCGTGAGGCGGGGTGAGGAGGTTCAGAGGTGCAGAGACTGGGTCAGGAGGGCCTTACCTAAGCAGTGCACTACTCCCTGACAGGGATTAGCTGGGTGGTGACCACAGGCAGGTGGGGTCTGGCTGGGGGGAGGTGGGTCCTGGAGGTGTGCCTTTGGGTGTATATTTTGTCCCTGGTCAGTGGAGCTCTCTCTCTCTCTCTGCTTCCTGGCTGCCAAGTGTTGATAACTGCCTTCCTCCCCCACACCCTCCACCACGACATGCTGCCTCACTTGGACCCAGAGCAATGGAGTCAGCGTCTATGGACTGAGACCTCTGAAACTCCGAGCCCAAATAACTTTTCCTCCTCCACTCTTCTTGCCGGCCTTTCGGTCACAGCAGGGAGCCAGCTGACTAAAGAGGCAGAATGAGTGGAGACCCACTGGGCAGAACAGGGACCAGAAGCCCACCTGATGTGAGAACTGGTTCCACACTGAGAGCAGAGAGGGTGCAGGGCTCCAAGGGTGCTCCCCCTGGGGAGAGGCCTGTCCAACACATCCTCACCAGGCGGCCAAAGCGGTCAGCACTAGAAATGGGACAGACTCAAACCCAGTGCCATGTAACTAGATGAATGAGAACCCAGCACCCTTCGGTGCCATCCCTGCCAAGGGTGCACAAGCTGGTCCAGGTGCCAGGAAACTGCGAAGCCAGATGGTCTCACCCAACTGCTGTGCTCCTTGTACTCATCAGCTTCCCTTTACTATAACAACATACCAGAGGCCGTTCATCTACAAGGAGAGGAGATTCATTTGGGCTCACAGATTTGTAGGTTCTGGTCTAGGGGGTGGGTGTCGCGTTGCTCAGAGCCACTGGCAAGGCAGCACGCGGGGCGGCAGTGTGTAGTGGAGCAAGCAGCTCAGCTCACGACCAGAAACAAGAAGAGCAGGAGGAAGGGGCCCGTGCTGAGCCTCCCCCTTCAAGGGCACCCCCAGGCCCAGGCCCTCTCCAGGCCCCGCCTCACACAAGTCCCGCTAGCTTCCCACACGGGGCTTTTGGGAGGCACTCAGCAATGAGGGTGGGGACATCAGGGCTGAAGGAGGCCAGGAGAGGCATGGGACCCTGTCCTGCGTCATATCGATGAAGAGCCTTCAAAGAGCCTTATGTTGGCACAAAGTGCCCTTGAGAGTGTCAGGCACAGGGCTGGCAACTCACTCTGGAGTGGCAGGGAAGAAAGAGTCTTTGGCTCTTGTTGCTTTTTTTCTTCAAGTTTTAAACTGCTTTAAAATACAGAATACAAACACTTAAAAATATAGAATCTTGGCCTCCAAAATAAATAGAAACTGTATACAAAATATTCAAATAAGTGAATTTAGAAAGGTTGAAGGATCGATCATGAAGAGCAGTTCTACTCTATAAACCACTATGCTGAACACCACATTTCACTGCTGAGACAGCTCCCCCTCCGTGACACTGGGATCTCCCTCTGTATCAACT